ATTTGGTAACTGGTTTAAGTGTTCTGAGAATTGTTTAAAAACCATGTCGTATTTAATATAATAAACTACTCCTTTGGAGCCATAGATAGTTATTTAAAATATCATTAAAGAAAAAAAAAAAGTACTGTCCTTTCAGCTGTTCAGCTGAATTTTCCTCTTTCAAGAATTCCTATATACATAACTCCTTGTGCAATATAAGTTCATATTCATTGGCCTCATTTAAATTATCATTAAGAAAGAGGTTATACTTTACACTACTTCTTTCTTTTGGAGGTTTCAGGGATCACAGTGCCATTTAAAGTATGTTATCCAGTGTACAAAAGAAGTTAGAGGTTAAGTATCTTGCATAACTTTATGAGTTAACTCTGCTAAAATTTACTCTCTTACTACATCAAAGGTTCTTTCCAGTTTGACTAAAGCAATAAGGATCTGTCTATTAGTTTTGCCACTTTAGCAAAACAGGTTTTACATAATGATTTAAAGACTTAGGACATAATTCTACTTGAACTTAGTTCAGTTTGATAAAAAACTGTCTTTTTTACTAGTACATTGGACATATTAAGGTAGTAATAATCAAAGCTACCTCCTTTATGTTTAACATGCATTTCTCATTTCAATTACCTGAAGAAAAAAAATAGGCATAACAGGAAATGGATAAACCGTTTCTATTTGTCAGTCTGATCTCATTAACATAGTGTAAATCCAGGAAATACAGCAAAAATAGATTTACATAAATTGAATTGATTTTCATTTAAAATTGGTCTGTGGCTACTTTCCGATTTTTTTAAAGCAAATTACCAGGATCTCATCTGATCGTGGAGTTTATTTCTAGTTTAAAAGGATTCTTTAATTCTTTGAGCGTGGAGATTATGCTGAAAATGCTGTCAGGTTTTGTATACTGTTGCTGCATTATCTTTATTGCTTTAACAAGGTGTCTTGTAATGTTTCACTTTGGTGAAACTTAATGTGCACTTTGGTACAGAGTTCAGTATAGAATCATAGAACTGTTTGTTTTTTTCTTCTTTTTTTTTCTTCCTTTTTTTCACTCTTGCTACTTTCACTTTTAATTTAGCTACTAATTCCACTTCTAAATCACTCCCTTCCTCTTCTAAAATACCAATGTGGCAGAATGTTGGCAATTGTCTTCCATCTCCTAGTTTTACATTTGGTTAAGTGTTTGTGGGCTACAGGGACAGGGAAATGGGCCTTTGAATTAGCAAGTTCAATCAAGATTTTGGTGAACAAACTACAGTTACTACACTTTGTGATGCCCTGAAACACACAGTCACTAATCAGCTGATGTGCTTATCATCATACAAGTCAGACTGTTCTAGTTGATTTAAAGTATTCTGAAGTTACATAGTGCATATGTCTGTCTATTGCATGGACTGATTACTGATGAATAGCAGTGGTTTGTATAAAACTGCACTAGCAGGTGCAGAATGGAGGTGAACATTAATACCAGTGTGTCCAAACTGCATGCCATGTGTACATATCCTGGCTTTCCATCCCGAACCTATCTCTAAAATAGGAAATACTTCTCAAAGATTGAAGTGTTAGACTAAGACAAAGGGACAAGGGTTTGGTTGCCAGCTCAACTCTACTAGCTTGTGGCTTGACCTTAGGTAAGAATTGTCCCACCAGCTGCCTCTTTTAACTGCTGGCAGAGTGGAAAAGGTGAGATTCCTTCCCCCTGAGCAACAACTGAACTGTGTTGAGAAAGTTAAGTGAACTGGGGCTGAAGAAAGCAAATTCTTTTGAGCTCAGACTATAAAACTTATTTCATTTAAAGAATTTTCAAGGAAAGCTCATCATCTGGAACCGAACTCTTCACTCTGGGTTCCTTTTTAATAAGTATTAGAAAGATATTTGGTTGATCAGCAACTCAATAAGTAGAATACGAAGCTATTTGTTAGACGAATTTAAATGCGTAAGAAGAATCTATAAGAATCTTCTTAAGTAACTTATTTAAAGGCTTTTTTTTTGCCTTTTTATTGCAAATTATGTTTAATGCTTTTTTATTTTATTTGAGGCTTTCATTGTTGCTTATCATACCTTTCTGCTGATTTGAGGTAGCAGACTATTGAAAGGAATTATCTAATTAGTATCATTAATACCTTTTTGATTCTGTCCTTCAACTCTTCAAGTGAGAAAGAAGAGTTATGTAGACTATGTATTTAGTTTTCTTAGCTTTATCCCAAAGCCTTTCTACAGTTACAGTTACAGTTACAGTTACACAGTGAATGTTGCACATGACTAATGGAGAGTTTAATTTGGCTTATAGTATGAATTTATTCTGTCTTCTCAAGTAGTGTTGTAGAACTGTTGTAAAACTTTGCCCTTTCACCTCCAACTACGTCCCTGTTATGCTTAAAAATTATAACATTTTTCCTACCAAAAAGTGTAATTTATACTAGATTTTTTATAGCCATTTTTTACACATCTGTGGCTCATCTTGGCCTTGAATCAGTTCAGAGTCACAGCCAACCTGGAACAGGAGCTTAAGGCAGTATTTTCCTTCAGTAGTTAAGAAGGACTGATCGAGACAGGCCATCTCATGCCAGGACCTTCACTACTCAGATATCTACTCCTACAGCAGATGCCTACTACTCAGAGCCCAAACAGTGTTCCTTTCCTGCCTCCCCATACTCTTACTGATATACTTACTCTCTACTTACCTATTTTATAGGAAGGCCTTCTTTTGTTTGTTTGTTTTCAGAATGTTTATTGCATGCTAGGGGCAGGTGTTAAGTTTTGGAAGGATAAAGTAGTAACTGCCCACAGAGACGAGAGGAAATAGAGAATAAGTGTTGGTAATCTACATTAATGGTATTAAAGTTATTCCTGGCAGATAATACAGGGATATTTTTGGAACATACTTGTGGGAGGATAACGCATACTTTTTTATTGTGCTCTGGTTCTCATCAAATATGCATAATATGTTATCCCATAGCTTCGGTATTTATACCATGGAAAATGTGTAGAAAATGTCATTTGTGAAATGTGGTTGATCTCATTCTACATGCACAGATGAAGAGTATCTGTTACATACGAGTCAGTAAGGTTTTATTGTTAAATATGAAAAAAGTAGTAATGACTCATTAGTAGCACATACCAAGGGAAAAGGGGATTGATTCTTTTTTCCTTCGTATTATTGATTACTAGCTGTTCCTTTGTTAATATTTACATATACACTTTAAGTGAAGGAATAATATATATGGCAAGCAAAATAGTCAGTAATGGGAGGACTGTATTGATTTTCTTGGCAATAAAACATTGAAAAGAGGGTGCAAACTGGGATTAGCTGCGTGCAGAAGTTAGCGTCAGTTCCTTTAACATAAAACTGACCTTTCTACTTTCTTTATTTTATTTGTGCAGCCTGTTTTACAAATACAAATCATAAAACTGAATTTGCAGCATGTGATTTTCAGTTGTCATGGCTATATAGAGTACTATGTTCAAAAGTTACATAGCTACTTATTCTTAAGTTTATTCATTTATTGTTATATTACTTTGTTTTTGATTTCTTTTAACTTTGGTACCCTTAAATCAGTTATACTGAAATCTTTCATGTCATTCGTTTACCTGAGAATGACTGTCTTTTGAAGTCTGGATGAGTGGTTTCTAAGAAAAAGAGTAGGAAAAATACTTCTTGTTCTTACAAAAGATATAATACTTGTTCTTACAAAAGAACAGGAGGAATAATGTAAAATGAAGCGTAACAGAATAAATACAGAGCTTAAAACAATGGCAAACAAAAAGTCTGATTCTGTGTCTCTCTTTCAGCAAAGAAAGCTGTTTTTTGTGATCAGGAAGTGTACAGATAGGGAGACAACGGCCAAGAGTAAATCTGTATTAGACTTTGCCAAGGATATTACAGCAAATAACAAAGGTTCTTTGGCTGTATAAATAGAAGGGGACAAGGGAAAAAGAGGGAGTGCTGTGAATAGTGTGTGTTTGCTCATTTTCCTCTTTCTTTTTTTTTTTTTTTCTTTAAGGTTTGGCTGTGTTGTCTGTGGGTTTATTGTCTGTTTGTATGTTTGCTTTCCCAGTGAAACACAATGGCTGTGATTGCACAATCTAGTATGCCTCCACCTGGACCCTCCACCTGGGAGTCAGTCCTGTGGCAGCAGTGTGCTCTTTATATGGCAGTGCAGTTTTATCCAGCCTACTGCCGCTTCCCGCTTTGGATCCCAGAAGGGTTTGCCCATGGCAGGGGACAGTGCTGAGCCCACTGGAGCTACAGTGTTGTGAATGGCCATGGATTTGCACTCACAAGCTGCAGATGGGGTGTCCACTGTGCCTGGAATATAGCAGAGGTCACTTCTTCATCCTATACAAACCCTTTTATTTACCTGACCAAGAAAACTTCAATTCTTTTGTGCAAAGCAGTATATTTTGCTATTTTAAGAGTGTAACTGAACCTAGTTGGATCACCCAGTGAGGTATGAGAAGTGACAAAAGAGACAAGAAAATGCTACAACAGCCGGATTTCTGGTGTGTGTTTAGAGGAGCAACCGAAGACAAAGGAAGGGTGGCAAGAGCCCTCAATTCTACATCTCTCTTTTGTCCCTGAAACTTTGCAAACAATGTGTCTGTTTCAGGGTTTGGTCTGGGCTGTGTTTTGGAAACAAGCCAGTTCAGCCTTCAGGATAGATAAGTGAGAATGCTAGTTTCTTTCTTATGGTGATACACATTTCAGCAAGGCCTAGATACATCTTTAAGAATGAAATGTGTATTTCCCTACTCAATAGAGTCCTGACTACTGCTGACCTCAGGTGATCTGAGATTTTTATGTGACTAATATTGTGGCTGTTAGGTTTTTCTTTCAGCTGTTAAGAAGCTACCCACTACCACAGTATTTATAACTTTGATTATGAAAAAAAAAAAAAAGTAAAATTGTATGGAAGTATTTTTTTGATTTTTTCAGATCATTTAATTTTGCATTAAATACATTAAGCACACACTCAGCAGCTTTATTTCATGACCCAATTTTTTAGGCTGTGCTGTGGATGGTCACCCAACTCCAAACATCACCTGGCTTTTTGCTGGTGAGCCTCTGAATGTGCAGCATCACATCCTGGCAGCAGGTCACATTCTTCAGGTACTCAACATCAGTGATGCCCTGCAAGGTGAATTCAGTTGCCTTGCGGAGAATGAGGCTGGCTCACTCACACAGAAGACCTCCCTGGCAATACAAGGTAATTTTCTACCCTTTGTCTTGCTGTTCTTCAGAGCTCCTGGCATGGCCTTCCTTGAGCTGACTTTATTGTTCCAGATTTCCCAGCTCTGAAGCTGTTACTGTGACACACAGTAGCAAGTGGGTGTTATGGTGTTCTACCGATCCAGACAGACTTGCAAGTCTACTGAGTGATTTGGATTGTTTTGGTTTTTACTTTCCTAGAATTACATGTGATATTTCTGGTCTGCTGAGCATACAGCACTTACTTAACTGATTCAAGATGCACCTATCTATATAGAGTCAACCAGAAACTTGAAGACAAGAGTGTCATAGATCAAACCCCACAAAACAGCAGTCCTTCCCTTAGTTTTCATAAATCACTATTTCATATTCTCTTCTGGCTTGAAAACCATTCCTTTGAAAAAGATGCCATTGCTTTGTTGTCTTTACCTCGGAAGCCGAATTGAAAGTATGTACCAATGATAAAGCTACAGAATAGAGCAGGAGAGATGGGTTGGAACAGAACATGGAGTTTTCATTGCTGTAATTGTCAAGGGTCAAGTAGAGAGCAGATGTAGCTTTCCTTATTTTTTCCAATAAAATTTTAAATGTGTTGCAACTACCCTATTTACTTTGAAGTTGAATGACCCATGCGATATACTAGGTGAGAAACACACTGATGTAAGTTACTAGTAACTACTGCTAACTGCAGTTAACTATACCTCCAGTAAGTCACACCCCTTTAAAAATCAGAATGGTTATCAATGAGTCCCATGGATTATTGCTGTGAAAATGTGATACATTGTATTTTTTAAATATATGATTTAGAGGCACACCTTTAAATGTTAGAATGAAATAACCTCATTAAACATGTTTTTCTTTTGTTCAGTTTGAGGATACAGCACTCAGAACATGCCTTTGGAGATATTTAGAGACTGTATTATGGGATCTGGTGACCTTTTGCAAAGAAATGAAAGCATGTAATACTGCAAGGACTAATAATGCCTTCTTTTTCATAGGCCAAATGGAAATACCTGACTAACTATGATAAGAGAAATCGCTTAGCACTAAAGCTACTGTAAGAAAAATAAATAGTATGAAGACCTTCATATCTTGTAAAATCATTCCTATATTACTTTTAATGACTCTCACTTCTTGTGTCACTCCAAAATTCCCATTGTTATATTTTTTCAGAAGTGTTTGGAAAGGCAGTTATTTTCACATAAGTGCTACGAGTCTTTTCCATTAGAGATAGGTGTGAAACACGTATCAACACAAGGCTGTTTTCGGCAGCATCCCAGGAGATTTCATGCTTGCCATTGCCATAATATCTGACAGCCTCACACTCACAATGGTGTGGTAGATACACTCAGTGTATTACCCAATTAAATGTGTATAAATGCAGAGATTTGCAACACCCTGCATCACTGTGTAATGCCTTAATGGCTCTACCGTGTCATATACTCCCCTTCTCTGACTCTCCTTAGCCCCAAAGAATGGGGTTTATTATACCAAAGACAGTCAAAGGCTTAAGTAAGCAGTAATTTCATTCGTTCTTTGTCTCCCACTTGGTGCCTTTTAGGGATAAACTCTTCCTCTGCACCTGGGTCACTGAGTGCAGATACTTAATGTCTTTTAGTGCTGACTGTTATTATCTGCTAACAGGACTCTCCTTTGCTTTCTGGCAGAGTACCACTGGTCAGCGGACAAGCTGACGGCTTGTTCGGCATCCTGCGGCCACAGAGGGGTGCAGCTGCCCCAGCTGAGGTGCTTGCTGGACGGGACCGAAGTCAACGCATCGCACTGCAAGGAGAAGCCCCAGCCAGTCCTGCAACCCATCCCCTGTAACAGGAGAGACTGCCCTTCACGGTTTGTCCATACGTTCAGATGTCATATGTGCCTTTAAGGTGCTGTCAGCATTTCTTTGTGCTGAACAGCATGCTATCACAGCCTCTCTACTGTCCTTTGGGGAAAAATCATGAGTAAAAGGAAGTTTATGGATGCTAAACCTAGAGGAATCAGGGTTTGTATTGAGATTTTTAGAATATGTACATAGTATATCACAGAAACTGTGTCTCCTTCTTCAATAATTAAGAGCACAGAGGAACTTCATTAGCAAAGTTCACAACGTAACAGTATTTTTCAGTTCTTCCCAAATAGTGTTGATAGCCAAGAATACTTTTCAACTTTTATGGTGATGTAGGAAACTCAATTTTTGTCTCTATTTCAAACCTCACTAGGTGTTTAAACTGTGGTTATCTTCACCATGAGTTTGAATTACTTGGAGGAGTGACAGTACCTTCTGCTTATTGTTTTACTTCCTGAAAGGAAAGGTGTCATCCTAGTTGGAGCCTTCATATATTATTGTAAATTGAAATTGGGAAGTAAGAGAAATTGATATCCTCCTCCTACTAGTAAGTACTAGCAGACTTTCAGGCCCATATAGGTAAATTTCTCACTGCAGAGCAACCACTGACCTGATTTTCTTCGTGTAACTTTAATACACAAACAGTGGAAATGATTGCAAAATGAGCAGAGGAAATTCACCCACAGTTGTAATAGTCTGGGCCATAGGGAACAAGTCATCACAGTAGGTATGTGATATACCACAATAAGGTAGATGGCAGACTACATAGAGCCTCTGTCAATCACTCAAAAAAGACATGTCTTAGACTAGCACCATTTTCCTTTGAGCTCTGTATGTTAAAAATGTGATGACTCCTTTTTAAGAAAACAAAAAGGTGTAGTAAGTCTAAGTCAGCTACAAATTTCAAATCTGAACCAAGAGCCAAAATCTTTCAGGCAGGCTAGTGCATTTGAATATTGACTTTCAGCTTTGTTTCACATTTAGTCAAAATACAGTATAAAAATATAGCACATCAATATTGTGTTTCCATGCCAACTGATACCACTCATTGAAAAAACATAGATTAATAACTTGACTCAAAGCAAAACCTGACCCCAGATTCTACTCAGGCACCACAACTTTTCAGATCCAAGAGACAGCAGCCTTGCAAGATACCATCTCCATGTATAGCCCCAAACACTTAGTCGAGTTGAGCTTTCCCAGGTGCATCTGTCCCTGGATCCAGTGTGCATGAAGGAGGTCAAGCTGAGCTCTGCCTCCTCCTACAATTTGCTAGCTTGCAGTTTTCTGGGGATTGTATCCTGCTATCTTAAAAAAGCTATCTTTCAGTTAAATACAGTTGTGCCACAACAGCCTGCAGGACTACACTAAGGTATTTCCTTCCTTCCTTCCTTCCTTCCTTCCTTCCTTCCTTCCTTCCTTCCTTCCTTCCTTCCTTCCTTCCTTCC